CATGATTGCGGTCCCTCCTCTCTCGCCCATGTGTGATGTGTGATGGATGTCGGGTCAGTCCACGTCAGATCAGATCTTTTCTCTCCAATATTCCGCTGTGCCATTTAATGCCATCTTGTATGCATCGGACTTTGCAACTGCGAACATACTCTATGCAGTCATTTTTCATTCATGGCCAGGTGTACGCGTGCATCAGGTTGGCTAAAGTCTTCTGCCAACCAAAGTGTCCTTCGGTGTCGTGGCATTCTCCCAAGACCAGACTCCGAATCTCTTCACTATTGGGGACGCACAAACGGTCTACTACGTTAGTCTTCTCAAACAACAACCCATCAGTAGTGCGGCAATATGGCTCGGACTCCGGGGCTTCCTTAACTCTCTTAAGGAGCTCACTATAGATGGAGTCCTGCGCGTACGCCTCTTTAACTTTCTGTTGTAGGTCTGACCCTATATCTAGATAATGGACTATAGCCCCAAAGTAATCAGCTCTCCTACTCAGAGCATCCGCGACTACGTTATACTTCCCTTTGACCGGCTTGAGCTCAAAGTCATATTGATCTATTTCTGCGGCCCACCTAGTAAGCTTAGGTGTCATCTTGGTCTGCGTCTTTAACCATCGCAATGTCTCGTGGTCAGAATAGACATTGAAGTGCCTCCCAAGCAAGTAATGCTTCCAGTGTTATAATTCTTGCCTGAGAGTGTAGAGTTCCCTCTCATAGGTAGATGTCGCAACCTTCTCTGAAGGCATCCTAGCAGACATGAACTCTACGGGTCTATAACCATTGCCATCGTTTTGCTGCAACACCGCACCTATGTCGTATAGGCTAGCATCCGTAGTGACGGGCAAGGACGGATCGGCTACCTTAAGGACTGGATATTCTATTAGTGCCTGCTTCAGCTTCTTCATAGCAGATGTGCAGTCCTTATCCCACTTCCAGATGGTTTCCTTCCTCAGCAATCTGCGAAGGGGCGCAGCGATAGTGGAGAAGTTCCTCACGAACTTCCTATAGTAGTTAGCTAAGCCCAAAAACGATCGCAACTCTGTCAGTGTGCGTGGCGTAGGCCAATCTCTAATCGCTGCGATTTTACAATCTTCTGGTTTAACGCCGTCTCCGTCTAAGACGTGGCCTAGATATAAGACTTGGGTCTTCGCCCAATCGCACTTCTTTGCATTGATCTTGAAGTTAGCTTCTCTAAGCTTCTTCAAGACCTGCTTGAGATGACCCTGGTGGTGTTGGAGGGTCTTGCTAAACACAAAGATATCATCTAATTAGACAACAACAAATTTATATAACCATGGCCTAAACAAATCGTTCATACACCGCTGGAACGTAGCTGGTGCATTGGTTAGTCCAAAGGGCATCACTATGAACTCGTAGCGCCCATATCTAGTCCGGAAAGTTGTCTTGTACTGATCATCAGGGTGCACCTCTATCTGATGGTATCTGGACTTTAAATCTATCTTGGAGAAGTACTTCGCCCCCTGCACTCGATCTAGGAGATCGTCTATCCTAGGCAGTGGCTCAGCATTCTTTACTGTTATAACGTTCAGACCCCTGTAGTCTATACGCATCCTCAACTCTCCCTCCTTCTTGGGGAAAAAGAGGACAGGTGCTCCAAAAGGAGACGATCTGGGCCTAATCCAACCCTTCTCATGGAGCTCGTCCAACTGTTTGCGAAGCTCCTCTAACTCCCGCGGGGACATTCGATACACAGCTCCTTTGGGAGTTCTACTGCCAGGCTCAATTTCGATGCGATGCTGGATAGGTCGCGACACTACTCCTATCGGCGGCTCAGTTAAATCTTTGAACTCCTCCAGCCGCTTGGCAATCGCAGGGTCTATAGGCTTCTCTTCTGTAGGCTCAGTATCTGGCCTAACATAGGCAACAAAGACTTGTTCCTCCAGTTGCTCCTTTTTCACTAATCTTGCGAACGCAGGAGCACTAAGGCAGCAATGTGCCAGGGGGTTCTCTACTCCTGACACATGAAACAGGCAGGCAGTCTTAGCCTCGTCTGAAGGGCTAGGGAGCCTACACTCGTGCTCCTTTAAATGGAGTGTGGCCCCGGCCGCCTCTCCCCAATCCATTCCCAGGACGATATCGAATGGGAGGCTGTCTTCTACGAGGAGAGTCAGGGAGTGGAGAACCTTCTCCACTTTCCCATTCTTCTCTAGGCGGAAATACGCCTGGACTCCCTCTACGTAATCCTCTACAACCATGGTACGATTGTCTGCGAGGATACTAACTATGGGGTCTGTTAGTTTCTGGACTTTAAGCCCCAGCCTCAATTTCTCCAGCGCTTTCCTACTAATATAGCTGCGGGTGGCCCCTGAGTCTACTTGGGCCCCTACTCTACCTCTAAAAATCTCTGTATCTACCAGTATTAGCTATCCTTTCTGTTCTTTCTTCATTTTGGCCCAGGCGGGCATCCTCTCCTTCAATTCTTCGGCCACGCCTGTGAGGGAGGCGTCTAGAGAGACTCTAACACAAGCAGTCTCTGGACAGCGATCTAGACACCGGCCTGCAACCTCTGCCATAGGCACATGTGGTGTGGGAGTCTCTTGCCGGCTAGCACTATGTTCCCCACATGGCCTAATGGTAGAGGCAGTTGCCACCCCTACCGGCGGCTGCCTTTTGGCCCTTGAGCAGTCGTCCGGGTCTCTCTATACTTAGGACAATATTTAATGATATGGCCCGGGTCACCGCAGTAAATGCACTGGCCCCGGTCCAAACGTTGTTGCCATAAGCCCTGGTCCAGACCCAAACTTTCCCAAGGCCTACCCTGCGGTAGCCCTGGGTGTCATCCACCTACCCTATAGGGAGACCTATTCCTAGGACGGTTTTGCGGGGGACCTTGACCCCTTCCTCCCGCTTGGCGGTTTCCTCCTCTGCCGCCAACCCCCTGATCGCCCTGAAACCGGCTCCCTGAGGCCCAGCCCCCTTGGCCCTGGCCTCGTCCTCCTCCTTGCGGCCTCCCTCCAGCCGCGACAGCAGCGTAAGTTCTCCCCTGGCTCACACCGCTGTCCTCCTCCTCTAACCCCCACTCAATCTGTTTGTAGGGGATCTCGTCGACACTACCTTCGTCTAAGGTCAGGACAATACTATCCTTAGTCTTAACTTGCCCTGAGATAGTGCGACCCTTCCACTTCTTTCCCTTGTCTAAGTCTTTGTGCCAGAAAGTGGAAACTGACACAAACTTTGCCTCAAAACGCCACCACTTCCCTGCTAAGCGCATCATACGTCATAGCAGGGTCTTGGCTCTTCGCGAAGAAGTGCCCTCTAAACGTTTCGGGCATAGCCCGATAGAAGAGGTTGACCAATTGGGGCTCTGTGCCCTCGCGCTCTTCCACTGACGGGAATGGATAGTTTGCAGCCTATCAGAGACTTTAACACTACGAGCAACATCAGCGAACCACTCGCGCAGCAATTTCATAAACTCAACGAGGGGGGTGAATGTGGAGTACGCAGCTGCATCTTCATTGCAGTTGCCAGCGCGGACGAGGGACCTCGCGAAAATGGCAGCTTCATCTCTAAGCGCATGAATCGCAATCAACACGTGCTGATCTGGGGAGACCTGTTGCAGATGCACATAGGTCTTGACGTTGGCCTCCCAATTTTCAAAGTTTTCTTCCCTTTTTCCACTGTAGGAATCAGGGAACATGACTTTGACTGGCTCCCTGTGAGGACGTGCCTCCTCCTCCTTGGGAGCTGCCGCCTTGACACCTTCAATGGCACCGACGCAGAAGTGTTCAATCTTCTCGAGGCGATGGTTCACCTCGGCTCCTACTACGCCTACCAGTTCGCGAGCAAAGTCCCGAAATTCCATTCGCATCGAGCGCACGGCCATATCCTGACTTCGACTAAACTCATATTGTTCTTCCTGCACTCAGGCCAAACGCTCAACACTTTGGGCAATGATCTCTACCTTTTGTTGGAGGTCTACCTGGGGGGTCAATCGTAGAGTCAGTCTTTGCACCTCCTCCAGATCTTTGACCGCTTCACTCCCTGCATCCACCCTCTTCTTCTTCTCCCTCATCATTCTTAACTTCCATTCCATCCTCTTCTCATCCTCCATTGCCTGCCGCTTCAAAACATCTCCTTCTGCTTCCGACTCCTTCATAGCGGCTTCCTGGTCATCCTTGGGGATGTACATGGCTACCTCTTCCTCTTCCCCCAAGGATAAGTTGGCGACCCATTATGAGATCCTCTTCTCCATTTCCTCACTCTTACTGCCACTGTACTGCCCTCGGTGTTCTCTTCTCCTTTCCAGTGGTTGATCATCTTCCTCCTCTTCTTCTTCCACCTCCTTCAACTTCGCTTCTTCTTCTTTCTTCAACCTCTCCTTCTATCTGGCCATCTCCTCCTCTATCTTCTTCAACTTGCCGCCTGCTCCTCCTGTAGGGCCTTCTTCTTGGCCTCCTTCTTCTCCCTTCGCTCTTTCAGGATGGCGGCGGCCTTGGCCTCTTCTTCAAGCGTATAGGGGTGTGTGGTTGTGCCACCCTTCGTCTCTAACCTACACGCGAAGGTGTTCCAAAACCCCAACGGGAACATGAAACGCCAAAGGGTCCCCCAGTGTGAGAACCCAACAAGTAACCTATACATCGGGTAGTCATCCATGGTGGTGTCAGGTGCACGACAACAGTCCCACTCCTCACCACTTAGACCTACCCGGACACTGACCCACTGACTGACCCTCTAAGGACCACAGGGTAGAACCCTGTCAACTATGGTTACTAATCTGGACCTACTCTAAGGCTGTCACTACTGAACCAACAACTGATCTGGAGGCATTTAAGGAGATCCCCCAAACTCCGCAAGAATTCTTTAACGTCGCAGTCAGGACGACGTGATCAGCGTGGTTCTGCCTGTGCTTTCAACCCACAACTCMGCCTTTCCGGCCTACTGTGCCACACCGAGCAGCCCGCCGGTCTGTACCGGTCCTTGGGAGGGTTAGTATCCCCCGGGACAGTCGAGTCGTCAGACACAGATCATCAGTCTTACTGGGTCCGGTAGGGGGGTGGTTCAAACAGGCCCTCAACACTTAAAGACTGCCTGGTGTGTCAGCCTTAGCTGTCGTTCAAGTCCACTGAGTCCTACCAACCGTTTCCAGCCGGTCAGCACCGGTCCTTGGGGGGGTTAGCCCCCTCTGGAAAGTTGGATCAGCCACAGCCTCAGCCTTACAAGGTCAGACTAAGGTTTCGTCATCCAGACCTATCCTTCATGCACAGAGTCCTATTACCTAGGACAGAAGAGACTCGATGCAGAAAGAAGAGACAGACAGACTCAAACTCAGCAAGTACCGTAGGGTGAGTGCACATCCACAGGGTGAGGGGACAGGCTAGGGGCTTGGCGAGGCATTACCAACTCCAGCTTTGTCCAAGTCTTGGTCAACGGCGCCGGTCAACTCCTCGGTCAACGCTGGGTCAACGCTGCAAGGCCCTGGTCAACACCTTGGTCAACCTTCTGGTCAACGCCCGGTCAACCCTTCGGTCAACTCCCGGTCAACCGTCCGGTCAACTCTCACCTCGGCTATGGCCGCCGGCACCTTCACCTTCGCCACCCTTGTCTTCTCCTTCCTTCCCCTTC